GCACAGGGTCACAGCTGTGCCATCCCTGGATCCCGCACAGGGTCACGGCTGTGCCATCCCTGGATCCCGCACAGGATCACAGCTGTGCCATCCCTGGATCCCGCACAGGGTCACAGCTGTGCCACCCCTGGATCCCGCACAGGGTCACAGCTGTGCCATCCCCGCATCCAGCACAGGGTCCCAGCCTGGGGCCATGCAGCTCTGGCAGCTCAGATCCAGCCCCTCAATTGCAGCGCGTGGCCCAGCTCTCAGCAAAGCCACCGCCTCCTCCTGGGGCCAAATGTGTCCCCGACTTCTGGCCGCCCATTTCCTTTCATCCCAGCAATTCCCATCCCTTTGCAGAGCTCATTTCTCTGCAGCATTTCACCCTGCAGACATTTCCAGCAGGAATCTCCGGTGCCCTGGGGATGGACGGGCACAGCTCCAGCTCCACATCTGCAGGGGCTGCTCCCATTTCCCCCACTGCTGCTCGAAGCTGGGATCCGAGGCCTCTGCGAGATGTATTTACATCCTCACAGGGTTTCATTGTAAGAACTTCCCTGAAAACTCCTGAACTTCCACCYTGGCACTTTTCAGCTCAGGGAAGGCACTGCAGAGCTCTTCCAAGATGCAAAGTTTGACTCCAAAGCCTCCATATCCCGGGGATTTGCTGCTGGAAGCTGGAGTTGGCTACAGAAAGAGGAGCTGGGGCAATTGGGGTGCTCAGGAGGCTCCACAGCTCGGGCTGGAGGGGAGAGGAGGGGAGGGGTGTCCTGAGCCCCGATTCTCTCCGAAATCCTCCCCATTCCCTGTGCCCTGACAGCCCGAGCGGCTCCTGGGGGGTCTGGGGTCTCCCCTCTGGCGGGGTCCCCACGTGGGGATGCTCCTCAGCCGTGGTGCTTTGCTCCCACCCGCGTTATCCTGGGACTCCATCGCGATTCTGCTCCTGATCACTCCCTGGGAGGCTCCAAACTCGGGCACAGGAGAAGGGGAGCCCGGCTGGAAAGAGATTTTCCAAGGAACTTCATTATAAARTCAGGCAGCTGCCTCTCATTGCAAAACCCTTTTGATGCTGCTGGCACAGAAAGATGGATCGGGGAGGGTTTTCCAAGSGGCTGAGAGGGGCTTTGGGATCAGGATCCATCCAGGGGGGATTCAGCAGGAGGGATGAGCTCTGGGTGRTGGGGCAGGACACAGACACGGGGATGGGATGGCCGAGGCGCTGCAGATCCTTCTGGAATGGGCTGGGGCGCTCTCTGGGGCTGCTCGGGGGGCACAGAGGGGCTGCTGGTCCGGAGAAAACATCGGGGAAGAGCTGAACCCCCGGCCGGGCCGCTCGTTCCCGTCCATGGCCGGGCCATCATCCCGGAGCGCCGCCGGCACCGGGCACGGCACCGGGCCCGCACAGCTCAGCCAGGGCCAGCCCGGCCTTGATGCGTTTGTTTTGTTGGCAATTAAGGAATAATCGTCATCTCAGGGTGAAACGCGGGCGGATCCTGCCTCCCGGGGCTGGCACGGGGGTGGCACAGCCTTTCGGGGATTCGGGGTGGGACGGGGCCAAGGCGGCCCGGGATGCCSTGACCCCACCTGCCCCAGGGATTTGGGGTTGGCAGAACCCCGGGGCTGCCGCTTTGTCCCACTGGAAATGACCGAGGTGGAGCCGGAACGCGGCCCGGGGTGTGGGGAGGAGGAGCAGGGACCCCCCTGCCGGGGCACGGGAAGGGCAGGGGTAGGGGTCTGGTTGGGGTTGGGGTTGGGGTTTTAGGGAGGGTGGATGGGGCAYTGGGGGAACCTCCCGACCCGAGCTGAGCCCCCGGGGCCTTGGGGATGGTCAGTGGGGTGACCGGGACAAAATGGCTGCAGAGCTGCGGGACTGGGGCAGTGGGTGAAAGTCTCTTCAGCCCGGAGCTGAGGACACTCGGGGACTCCGTCACCCGCGTGGGACCGGCTCCGTCCCACTCGGCATTAAGCAGGGCGTGTGCCACCTCCCTGAGCAAGCAGCAGGGACCCAGCCCTTGTCCCGGAGCCACCAACGTCACCCGCGCCGCCCGGGACAGCAGCAGTGCCGGGCTGGGGGCGTTCCGGGTCCCGATCCCACGGCAGCGCCGGCACCGCCACCGCGCTCACGTCAGGGCTGTCACCGTGTCCCGGGCTGTCCCAGGCTGTCCCGGGCTGTCCCGGGCTGTCCCTGTCCCCGTGTCCCCGGCAGCTGTCACCGTGCGTGCCCTGCCTGCTCTGCGCGCCCCGGCCATCGCTGCGCCCCGCACACGCGGAGCTGTCCCCACGCCGGCACAAACTGTCCCCCGGCAGATTCCAGCTGTCCCCAGGCTGTCCCCTGCTGTCCCCAGGCATTTCCCTGCCGTCCCCAGGCACAGAAGCCGCCATCTCCAGGCGAACACCGCCAGCTGTCCCATGCACATCTGCTGCTGTCCCCGCACTCCCGTCACTGTCCCCACGCCCTCGTCGCTGTCCCCACGCACATGCTCCCGTCCACGTGCCCGCTGTGGGTTTAGGAGGTGGAGTCCTCCTCTCGGCCAAAGAGTGTCCAAATCCTCCCTCGGCAAACACAGCTCTGGACACCTCCCAGTCCCTGTCTGAGTGTTCGCTGTCCAGCCCTGCTCGCTGTCACTCAGCCCATCCCAAAGGTGCCACCACTGCTCGCTGTCCCCAGGCCCTCCCTGCTGGCACCCGTGTCCCTGGGGCTGTGCCAGCCCTGGTGGCAGCAGCTGTCCGARGAGGTGCCACTCTCTGCTGTCACTCTCTGATCTCAGCCTGGGGTCCCTGTGTCACCACCCCCAGCCTCAGCCACATCCCATCCTGGAAGGGATGATGAGCGATGCAGCCCAAGAGGGGCCACCCAGGAGGCCCTGAGATGAAAGGGAGCGCAGGGTGTCATTAGTGCAGGTGACACAGCGCTGGGGAATGGCACCTGTCACCTCCCCTGGCTGCTGCAAAATGCTGCCCGGGGAGTGGGGGGACAGGGACAGGGCACCTGCAGGCTGTGGGGACAGGGACAGGGACAGGGACAGGGCACCCGCAGGCTGTGGGGACAGGGACAGGGACAGGGACAGGGCACCTGCAGGCTGTGGGGACAGGGACAGGGCACAAATATGGCCTCAGCACCGAGGTGGCTGCCCTCAAACCTCCCCTGGGGTGTCCCTGGCTGGGGACATCCCTGTCCCCTGGCAGCATGACCTGTGTGTCCCCAGGCTYGGTGGCTTCCCGGTGACACTGTTTTTCCTGGCATGACTTGCACCCTCACAGCAGTGGCAGGGGTGACCCATTGGTGCCACCAATTTGGGCCTGGCAGGGAGCRCAGCCACTCCCTTCCTTTGGGCTTTTGGGCCCCGGGTGACACCTGAGCACGGCTGGGGGTGGTGGCAGCTCTGTCCCTGTCCCTCTCTGGGCCGGCTGCTCCGCCTGGGAAAGCCGGGAGCTCTGCTTTGGGGGATGCTCACTGGAGTCGGTGACTTGGGGAGCAATTTCATGGCCTTTTGAGGGCTCTCGGTCCTTGCTGGGGCCATTCACACCACTCGTGCCACCTGCTGCACCCCAGGCTTCGTGCCAGCCCACAGAGGGAAACTGAGGCACGGGAAAGGCCATCATCTCCGGGCTGGGGCTGTTCCTGGCAGCTCTGAACACTCACGGTGGGGCTGTGGAGGGGGCAGGAACAGCCTGGCACCCGTGSCAAGGTCATCCTGCTCAGGGTCCCTTTTCTCCCATCCTTGGGGCCACCACCAAGGTCCAAACGTGCTTTGGGAGGGCGAGGAGGGATGTGGGACACGGAGGGGGCACGGAGGGGGCTCACAGTGACAAAAGTCATCCCTGCCAGGACGGTGGGGAGGGGACACACCGGGTCCATCCACCCTGGCCCCAGCACCGCGTGTGCTTYGGCGCTGCCTCAGAGGGGACAGCCCAGCCCTGCGGGGATCATTAGTCCTCCCTCATTAAAAAAGTTACTCACCCTTTAAGACAGAARCAAGAATATCCTGGAAATGCCTGGGTTTGGGGAGCTCTTGCCAAAGGAATGACTGCAGTCAGGCTGCCCGTGACGCCGCWCAGCACGTGGGCAGTGAGTGACCCGGGCAGTGCCCGTGGCGGCCGCGCTCCTGCTGCTCCCTCCGTGCCAGGACGGGCCGTGCCCGGCACCTCTCGGGATGGAAAACCACTGATCTCCCCGGCGAGGAGGGAGCCACGGCCTGGCTTTGCCTGCTGCTGCCACCCTCTCCTGTCCTGGTGTCCCCCTGCCCTGGGGACAAACTACCCCAGACCCCGTGGGGCACAAGGGTGGCACCCACCAAACTGGCACCACCGTGCGCCCCGTGGCATCATCTGCCCCACATCCTTGGCCACCTCATCCTGCCCAGGGCCCCCTCAGCGTGGGGTGACCCAGCCAAACGTCRCCCCAGGCCGGGGGGACTGTGTTCAGGTATTTTGGGCAGTGAGCAGGGCGGGCACTGACTCTGCCGGGTGCTCGGGAGCTGAGTCACAGCTCCGGTCAGGGATTTCATCTGCAGCCCCATTTCATCCGGCTCGGGGATTTCATCAGCAGCCCCATGGCAATCCTGGAGCGAGGGGCTCCGGCTGCCCCGGGCACCCACCGAGGGCAGGGCAGGGGAGGGGAGGGCAGGGAGGGGCCGGGGATCCATCCCTCTGGACAAAGAACCTCCTCTCTCCAGTGAGACCCTCCCAGCACACCCTCACCGGTGCGGCTCCAGGGAGGGATTTGGGAGCCCGGGCTCTGTTGGGCTCTGCCTTTGCCAAAGCTGGGAATACCTTGAAATGCCCCCTGGGATGGGGCTCCAGGGTCACAGCAGGAAGGTGAGGGGCAAACCCTCCCTCTGGGACACCGCAACGGTGTGGCAGCAGTAGGAGCCCGAAGAGCTGGAAAAACCCCCACTAAAAATTAACATTAATTTATTAGAATATTTATGATAAAAACCAAGAATCTCTTTACATGTGGGTTTGGTTTTTTTTTCTCCTTTTTATACAAGAGAATTTCCATTGCTTTTTTTCCTCCTGGAGACAGAGCAGGGCAGCAGGCAGGCACAGGCAGCGACGTGGGCGCTGGCCCCGGTGACAGAGCCCGTGGAGCTGGGGGTCCCAGCGGGCGTGGAGCGGGTGGGATGTGGAACTGGTGCCCACCAAGGCAGCGGGGCAGAGCGTGGCAAGGCACAGCACAGGGAGGGGACAGTGGCCAGGGCTCCCTGGGGAGGGGGTGGTGACCACCCAGTGCCACCCACGGCAAAGGTGGCACGTGGAGGGAGCTGGCACGGGGGACAAGGTGACAGACACAGGACACCCCTGAGCCCGGGGAGGGCTGCACGTCACCCAAACACCCAGAGATCCCTCCTGAGCCTGGGGAACGATGCACCCAGCACCCCCAGCTGTCCCCTTCCTGCCAWCCTTGCAGATCCAACGTGTCCCCACACAGGGAGAAGCAGCCCTTGGCTTTCCCCCAGCTCCTCCTGGCCACAGGGAGACAGAGAATCCCCCTGGCACACCCCGGGCCCATCTTTGGTTAAGGAGCAGTCGCTGCCGTGCTGGCACACGGCGAGGGGCCGAGGCTGGCAGAGGGTCCCCACGGGGACAGTGACAGCAGTTCCAGGAGGATGGAGAGGCTGCTCAAAGCCAGGGGGTCCCAGCTCCCCCCTTGCATGGCTCTAGAATATTTATTTGAAAAGACCTGGCATGAAATGTGGGGCCAGGAGGGAGGTGTTGGGCACAGCTGGTCCCGTGGGGAAGGTGCCAAGGCGAGGGAGGGCCGAGGTCCCTGGGAGGGTGCAGGGGAGTGTGGCAGCCCCGGTGACAGCTCCTGCTGTCCCATCTCTCCGGGACAGGGGCAGGGAAGCACAGGAAAGCAGGGGACGGGGGAGCTGTGCCGTGGGGAGCTCTGTGGACACCCCTGTCAGAGCCAGCCGCAGGTCCTGAGTGGGTGGGCACCTCCGGGAGAGCCCCGCGGGGGCTGTGAGGCACCTGCAAATCCCARTCCCGGGCGGAAAACTGTCCATCGCCCCCAGGCCACACCGCCTGAGGAGCCCGGGGCATCCCGGGGCTCCTTTCCTGCTCGGTGGGGCCAGCCCAGGGCTCGCTGGGCAGAGCTGTCCTGGCGATCCCAGTCCATCCAGGACAGTCTCCCCTTCCCAAACCCGTGTGTAGTGACAGGAAATCAAAAAGGAGAGCAAAGAAAGAACGAATGAAGAGAGAGAGAAACGATTTGGAGGCTTTGTGGCAGCAGCTACTGGCCCTTGGGGATGAAGGGCTCGCCCTCCTCGGGCTCGGGCTGCGGGCCGGGGTCGCTCAGGCACCGCAGCATGCGCTGGCTGCTGGGGCTGTCGCTGGGGCCCGGGGTGAAGACATCGTCAGTCCCCGGGGAGGAAGGCTCCCTCACCTGCATCACCAGCCCCTCGCCATCCTCCTCCTCCTCGGGCGAGGGCGGGAGGCCGCTGCAGCCCTTGGGCTCCTCCTGACTCAGCTCCACGGAGTCGGGGGACTGCGGCGAGGCCGGGTCGATGGTGATGATGGGCAGGTTCTCCACGTCCTCCTTGGGTTCGTAGGCCAGCGGGTCTGGGGGGGCAGGGAGGGGTCAGGCAGGGACGGGGGGACTCGGGAACCCCTCGGTGATGCACCCCAGATGTTTGTTTGGGCCGGGGCGGCTGGGCTGTGTCGCTGATTTCCAGCGGCGCTGTGTAATTCCGTTTCCCGGTTTTCCCGTCCCAGCGCAGCTCCAGGGAAGGGGGAAGCCGCCCTCTGCTGATGGAGCGCCGGCTGCGCACCCGGCACAGCCCGACCGCACCGGCCGGAGCAGCAGGGGACAGGGACAGCGGGAGCCGAGCAACGCAAACACAGCGTAAACTGGAAAAACTGGGAATCCAGTGGGAACAGCTCTTGGGGCTCAGCCCGGTCCCCTCCCCTGTGCAGGGCTGGGAGAGGCACGGACAGAGACACGGCCATGAGGATGGAGTGAGCTGAGCTCCGGAGAGACTGCCCAGCCCCACTGCCCCGTGGAACTGTGCTGGGAGGAGAGCTGGGTGCTCCTGCTCGGACCAGCAGCACCGTGGGGCCTGGCTGGGAGGCTCTGGGATGGGGATGGGGAGCTGAGGAGGAGCAGGACAGCACAACCCCCCTACCTGAGCCGATGCGAGCCCGGGACATGGTGGGCGAGTCCACCCTGTGTGCCGGCACCGTCAGGAAGCTGCTCATCTGCAACGGGACAAGGCACTGTCACCAGCAGGGCCAGGGCACGGGGGATGGCAGGGTATGGCCCGCAGGGATAGCAGGGACCAGCAGTGGGATGTGGAGAACACGGATCCTCCCAGGCACGCTCCAGGGACTCGCTCAGAGCCTGGGGCAGTCACAGGAGCCCCACCATTTGGGGTTYCCCTGTGCCATCCCACCCTCAGCCCCCTCCCTGTGCCCTTCCAGACTGTGAAGCCCCCGTGGCCCCCATCCTGCCCAGCCCTGGCAGGGGCTCTGGTCTCCCCCACACCTTCTGCTCCATCTCCCGGGCCCTCTGCCTCCGCAGCAGCATCTGGTTCCACGCTTCCTCGTAGGGGTCRGCCACCAGCGTGTGCCGGTTGTAGGATCGCAACTGAAAGGAGATCCCAAGAAAAGGAGATGGGTTAAAATCCCACAAGGAAAGGGAAAGGAAGGTGACATCCCTGTTTTCCCCAGAGATGGATCAAACAGCCACCAGTGGGCAGAGCAGGCCCAGGCAGGCTCAARGCTCATCCTTGTGAGCCACCACACCGTGCCTGGCCCTGACTCACCTCGGCCCAGCAAGGCTTTAAAGGCTGGGCTCAGCCAGGACCCGCTCAGCCTCCCCTCAGACTGTCCAGGGGGACAAGGGGGAAAGGCTGCTCACACTGTCCAGGGGGACAAGGGGGAAAGACTGCTCACACAGTTCAGGGGGACAAGGGGGAAAGACTGCTCACACTGTCCAGGGGGAAAAACCTCCCGGGCAAGGAGAGTCAGGCCAGGAGCACAAGGGATGAAGGGCCCAGCTGAGCTTCTGGGGKACAGTGGCCCTGCCACTCCCAGTGAGGCACAAGGGACACGTGCAGTGTAGGGGATGCCTCACCCTCTGCCTGGTTTTCTGCAGGTTATTGCGGAGGATTTTGCGGATCTCCTCCTCCTTGTCCTTGGACAGGGCCGGCAGGACGCGCTCCACAGGGAGGCTCTTGGGGTGGATGTTCCTGCACAGACAGACAGACGGGGTTCAGAGCCACACCACAACRGGCACACAGCACCCATTGTGACCCACAGGCCACTTGCCCTGTGAGCACCAGCAGGGAGCACTCAGGGTGCCACGGGAGGTGCCAGGGCTGGAACTCACTGGATGGAGACGGTGGAGACGGCYGAGGGGATCTTGCCGATGCCACCGCTCTCCACCAGCTCGATGGCCTGCTTCATCTCCATCTTGTGGTAGAAGGCGATGAGCTGGGGCTCCTTGGAGCGCTCCCCCGCGATCAGGCACTTCTTCACGTACTTCTTGTTGAAGCGGTTCAGCCTTCCCGGCAGTGGGGGAGAGG